GTGAAGTGAAATATTATTAGAACGGGATGTGAGTGACAAAAACTGTGATTATGCCTATCTATTTTGTCATAATGATGATAAAAACAAAAATATATCGAGCCGATTGCGTAAGTTATAGGTGTTATTTTCGAAAGAAAAAATATACCGAATGATCTATGGACGGATTCCCCCCCCCCTCCCCGGCTACTGCATTATAAATTAACATAGAAAAGAGAAAGATAGTAGATTGTATATTATCTAGTTCCCTACTATCATTCCCACTTTTAGAAGTTTCTTTACATGTTTTCTCCGACTATAATCCGTCCATATGTTAATAGGTCTACGTAATGCAGGCCAAGTTAATGCAGGTCAATATACTATACGCTAATATCGCGGACGTCATCGTATTGATGGGATCGATCATTTCGGCGTAGCTATTGGTGTAGGTATTGCTGTTGAGTATACTCAATACTCACCATCATTGCCAAAACCGGTCAATCAAAAACCAGTCTCAAGTGCTAGATGAATTTACTGACAAGAACAAAAAAAAAAAAAAAAGGTCATCATAATCGTTTTGTTAAATATGCTAAAAACTGTTCATCGGCGTTCACGCGAATGTTTATTGTAAAAAATTCAACTGTGGAACTTGTAAAATTTCCCGTATCTGATGCCTGTGCATTTCTCGCACCTATCCAGGCTAACCAGGCTCGATTCTGTTCAGTAGTCATAATTATCGTACGCTTTTTCCCAAAATTGTTTTTTTTTTTATTTTTCTTATTTTATTATTTCAACGCCTGACGGCAATTGTACAAAGATACAAATACAGAGTAGAATTTTAATCAATATATATAATGTACAATAACAATATTTAAGTTGTGTAAGAGTCTGTTATCGCTAACGAATGACGTAGCTCAGAGAGGGTGGGGCTAAGGACGCTATAATCTCTTTTCCTCCTTCTTCTCATGCACCGCATTTTATGTATACATACAATTTTACGATTTTAGTGTAAATTATGGCGATTCGATAATAGGTAAAATGAAAATAAAAAGAAAAACTTTAACGCTCCGGAAAAAAAATACGCTCAGAATCTTCAATGACATTACATAATAAAAGAAATATTATACAACACACATACGTGAAAACGGCGGTGACTGATACAGTGCTGTCTGACGAGAATAGTGGAGGAGACGAATTACTGAGGCTAACATTTTTTGACATAATTTTTTTTAGGCAGGTACCGTATAATATTATATTTGTATGTCATACCGTCTTTTCTCAACGGAATTTTCCTATTATTACGCAAACTACACAGAAAATCAAAAATATATCTCCTCTCCACCAACTAAATACAATTTGCTACCAGAAACCACTATTGAAAATAATGATTGAATTGAGATTTTCCGTCAAACAGGTTTTTAACAAACCGGCAAATAAAAAAAGGCATACTTTACACGTGGGTGTAGTCACTGTTGTAGGTGGAAAGTTGAGAAGGTAGAATACAGAAGGGAATTTAATCTATATCTGAAGTAAGCAATGATAAACCATACCATTGCTCATGAAAAAACGATTCTGAGCAGAGTTCAGTTGATAGTAATGCTTTGTCAACAATATATATGTATATATATTACACTATGGTAAAATAATTAAATAGGCATTATATATTTTCTTTATTAATATTTGCTTGATATTGTACTATTTTCCCGTTTTTCCTCCATTTTTTTTTTTTTAGTTTTTCCCATTTGATGAGAAAAATCCTGAGAAAATCGAAAAGTTATCTCCTCAAATACAATTTCAAAAAAGAGTCTACATCGTATACATTGGAAAAAGCTTTCTGATAGAAAAAGTGTTCATATAAAAAAAAAAAAAAAAAATTATCTTTGTAAAACCAATATATTCTTCGCTATACTAAGAATATAAATGTACATAATATACAATATATATATTTATACATACATTTCATATCATAGTAAAACAAATGAGTTTCTCTCTACGCACCGGTTACTCAAAATCTAAATAAAAAGTGATATTTTTGAAAAATTAACAATTGGTGTGTATATGATAATAGAAGTTCAATAAAGTTAGACTGAATATTTAACTCCTGTAATATTTTATAATACCATGTCTCAGATGACTTTTGAAATGTTGAAATGTCATCTTCTTCAATAATTATATTATTCATTTAATCGATATTGTATTAGCATGATTGATCGGAATTATAATTTCGATTATGTTTTAATTAAAATGACATTATTTAATGTTTAAAATTGAAATTAATAGTCAATAAAAATTGAAAGTTTATTTTTAAACAAAAAAATAATAACAATAATGAACAAGCTGAATTATTATGTTTCATACTAAGTCAAACAGTTATTTAGGTAGAAGGAAAGTTTTTTATCCCTATATGAAGTGAAAAATAATAAATTTTTAACAAATTTTATCGAAAAATGAACAGTAGAACTCTGTCGTTAGAGTTGAATATTCTCTCACTTATTTTGTATACTAAAAAAGTATACATATCTATGTATAACAATAAATAATTCTACTATAATTATATAAAATGTTATTACACTACACTACAATCATGCCAAGTACAAAAAAAAAAAAAAATGAAAATTGATACTAACGGCATGCATATACAATATGTCATCCACTTGGTTTCATTTGGGGATTCTGGAGGAGTGTATAAAGCTAAAAAAAAAAAATCATGCATACAATTTTTTTTTTCATTCCAATATTTAGTATGCAATTTTTATGAATTTGAATGCAAATTTTAGAATTTATGACATTTTTTTTTTGTTACAAATCAACCGTTAAATGAGTGAGGCTGGAATGACGTCAGGCACCAGTCTCATTCCAAATGGAAATTTACGAGAAAATCTAACTACACCAATATTTAGCATGTATTTGTATTACAAGTCACGAAATCCTTGAAATACCTCAACAGTAGTATGCGTAAATTTATATTGAAATTCAAGTTATAACAGTTGGTATAACTTAAATCTACCTTTAAAAAAACTTCTCTAATTCCAGAGTTTGAACTCATTTAGTCCGGAGGGAACCACTAAAAATGTCCAAAAATAATGGAATAAAAAAAAAAAATATTTATATACATAAGTACTTATATTAAAACAGATACAATAAAGTAATTTAGTCGATTTTGGCGGGAAAGTTGACAAAACATTTTGTTTTTATTTTGTTTCATAATCAGTAATACGGATACCTACTTATACCTATGATGATTTTTTTTTTTTTTTTATATAACAACATAATATAATAAACAATAAAAATACCTACCTGGAATACAATATATGTATTTAGTTTGGCGGGATTTCGATTATTGCTGCAGTTGTGTATAATATTACAAGCACTTATAGAAATTTTGCTGGTTTGGCGCACGGAGAATGATTATTGCGAATCGCCGCTGTCATTCGATAAAATAATATATGTTATTATTATACGAGTAATGTCGAGTAAACCGTGATTATTTGACGTGCGCCACTTGGCGCACGGGTTCCACTGTATTAGAGCGATGTTAACGCGAGATAGTAGCGTTAACTGAACAGGCTTTTTATTTTTTTTTTTATCCTAAATATTTACCTATATTATACGAATTGAACAGGTACCGTAACATATCCGTACTGCACACCTATGTACATATAGCTACTAGATTGGATGTTTTGTTTTCTAAACGAATGACTGTAGAATTACGTTTTCAAATGCTAACATACCGATATTGAATTGATTTTACGAACGTTATGGAATTGTACAATTAAAACTTAATTATATTTATACATAGCCTGACCTATACACAGAGCGTTTCAGGGACGGTTCTTAACGAGCCCCGAGTGGTTAGGATTGATACATTTTTTCATATAATATACGTACCTAAAACCATACGTATCCCTCGGTTTTCGACTATTGATTAGTTTAAGTACTTGAGAAAAAAATTTGATGTGGCCATGTGACATAGATAACTGACCACCGTATACACTTTACGCAAGAAATACTAAACACGATAAAGTAAATGGTATATTATTTCCGCCCCACTGCCGTGAAAAAGCATCGTCAAAAAAGTGATAAATGATAATATTTTAACAATGTTTTATCAAAATGTAATTATTGTTTGATGAATGTTAGGTACGTAATTAAACATATAGGCAAACCGAGGGAGGTCCGAATAGAAACGTTCGATCCACTCATTGTCCCGTATTTCTCGGTAAAACGTCAAGTGGGTTAAATTTAAAATACAATTACAATTATAATAATATTTTATTTATTAGCATACAATATTATTCCAATTTTGGTGCCCAGTGGCGTGCCCAGCGAGTATACTTGTAAGGCGCGGGCCTACTTATTTAATTTTTCAAGAAATATAATTTTACAATTTTTTTTTTTGAACGTATCGTAAAATTTTGATTTGAAAACTTGAATTTTCAAGAATTTCAAAAAAAAAAAAAAAAGCCGCAGAAACCAAAGGATTATTAAACCGATTTCGATTGTTTGATGTATTATTTGTTTCAACATTTTTTGATAACCTTTTATCGACTATCACCGTACTTTTAATACATTTGCAATCTTCTTCTCTCGATATAATTAAATGTTTAAATTTAATTGACGCTAAAATAACAGAGCTTTATGTTTACCATCAAATTAATTTTTTAATAACTTTTATAAAAAAAAAAAACTTAAATCGTGTCTTCAAATATTTAAATATTTTTATGAATAATAATGATAAAATAGACAAAAGAATATTAATAGTACATTAACTTTGTAATTACTTCAACAGTTTGTTTACGTAAAATTACGACTTAAATATTGCGAGTTATCTATTTTACAGTAATAGATAATATACTAAATGAAATTGAGAAAAGATTTAACAAAAATTCTGAATTTTTAACTGCTATATCAGTATTTAATCCGATATCAACCAACTTTTTAAATGATGATTTTGTTTTAAAGTGTACAAATTGACGAGATGATGATTATTTTTTTGACCAAGTCAAAGAAAATCATTGAAAAATATGTACAGTTGTTGTGCAAATACCATAGAATTTTACAACGAAATATGCATTATGGGACAGTCATTTGGAGAAATTAAAAAAGTTTTTGAACGCATGTTAGTTATACCAGTAAGTTCAGCATCGGCCAAAAGAAGATTTTCTAGAATGAAAAGGATAAAAACTTATTTACGGACATCTATGTCGACTGCACGTCTTCATAATTTATCGTTGATTTCAATTGAAGGGGAATTCAGTTTCGAGTTAATTGAGGATCCAACAAAGATTGTTGATGAGTTTGCTAAATTAAAAAATAGAAGACTTCAATTCACTAAATAATTATATTTCGTTTACTTATTATTTAAAAAAAAATAAAACTATTGTTTTATTTGTATTAATATATTATTCAGTTAATGAAAACTTAATTTTGCTTTTGAATATCTTTAAATATTATTAACAAGTCAAACAGGAGGAATTGTGTCAAATTACCAAATATGATTAAATCTAATTAAATTTAAAAATGTTATGAAAAGTTTCTAAAAAAAGATACGATGTGTACATATATAAATTCAAACAATTATAACCGGGCCTGTCCTACATTTTGATCCTGGGTACGCCTCCGTCTGTGCCACAATCCCGGATGTGAGATAGATTATCACATCAATTGAATACTCATAATGTAACGGTTCCGTGAAATTAAAATGAAAAAATGAAAATCACAAAAAACAAAAAAAACAAAAAAACAAAAAACCTATAGAACCTATGGTTATAGACAGATAATACATTATGTACCAAAACAATAATACGTTACGAGTTTTTAATATACTCACACACATATTTTATAGGTAGGTATGTGAACAATTGATCGTGTAGCTCAACGAGAGTAAAATGTACATACTCCGCCAATCAAATTTCCGTTATTTATGTTAATTGTATATCGCTACCATAGATCAGAAACGTTATAATACATACAGACAGTAAATTTTACCAACCCGGGCATACCTATTATAATACATATGTACGCGCCTATAATATCTTGAAACGAAAAACATGTTTCACAGTCTTAAATTTATTGCGCGTCTGCCCTTAGTAATCTGTATTATCCTTACGGCGTAACATTATTCGCGTTTCACGATATACCGGTCACCGTGGCGATTCACCTTAGTCGAGGAGGATGCGTTTTTTTTTTTTGTTTTTTTTTTCCCCAGTGCTATTTAAAATGGAGTACCTTGGTAATAGGTGTTAAATTTGTAGTTACACCCCATGTATATCACTAAAATAGTATTTCATAAATACTTAATCCGTATTTCAATGCATAATTGTATGTTCCCGAAAATCGTCATTTTACATTTCAATTAACCGTGTTTTCATTCGGATTGACAAATTTGAAAACTGGCACGGGGAAAATATTTTGGGTGAGGTTGTAGGTATAATATAGGTAAACGCCGTTACGGTTAGTGTTTGCTTGTCAGTCAAAACTTTGAAATCGCTTCGTAATCTCTGAACCGTTGTTCGCACTTAATTTCCAAGAAACCTTCCAAAAGGGCCATAAATACATTAATGGCACATGGATTAAATCTAGATTTTAAATCTCATTTCAACAAAAACCATTGGTACACATAATTTCTACGTAGATATTAGCAAAAAAATAGCACCGAAAATTGAAAAACAGCACTAACAAATATACACTACTTCAAATATGCAAAAAATAACGATATACAATTTCATATTTGGAATTTCTGGACCATATTACGAATTTAAAGCTTACTCAGCTATTTTTAACCGTATCCTATAATAATAAGCAAATTATATAAAATCCGAGCCCCGCTTATCAGGTTTGTTAATTTCAAGATAATGTTTGTAACCGTAATTTTTTTAATCGGACGAATATTTTTATCCTACTGTCTTTTTACAAAAAAAAAAATTAAAATTATTTTTAAACTGCATACTGAAGCAACCATATAAGGCTTCGATTTTTTTAACACGAATAATTTTCCGAAAACTTCCGGATTATAAACATAAACGTCGAACCAAAAGTTTTTAATAATTTCTTATAACATTATAAGTTTTAAAATTTTAAATAATGGGACAATTATTTTTTCTTTTATTCTGCACTACTTATCCAAACCCAAGTTCTAAATTGTAAATAAGCAAAAAATTGTTGATTCAATATTTAATATGCAATTTACATACGTCATTGCTACTTAAATGTTATATACACTAAAAAATTACATCAACTTGTTTAAAAAAAAAAATAAAAATATTTTGCTTCAGAAATAAAGTAAAAAAAGTCACTAATAAAATAATAAACATGGGTGTAATAAAACAATACCATCGCTAAAAATAACACTAACGAGATAAAAAAAATTAACAACTTTGATTTTTTTTTTTTTTTTTTTTGAGGAAAAAAGTGAAATATTACTATATATTCTAATAGAGTTGAAAAAAAAATAATAACCGTAACCATAATTTACAAAGAAATCAGAGAGAAAACGGTTGGTTCGTGATAACAAAGGAACCCTGGATTTTTTTAAATACATGTACTGTTGTACTCGTATATTTAAAAGGTATACAAATCAACACTATACACTTAGTAGATAAAAACACTTGTATTAAGGGTTCCTTAAAGAAAACTGGGAGGTTAGTCGTAGGCTGTGGATGTTCGGAGGTATTTAGTAATAAGCCTAGAGAACAGTGAGTATTTAGCCCTGATTAATTCATTATAAGAATGGTAGCGGTAATAAATATTTGAATATTGCTGGGACTCTGATGAAAAAATGTTCCATTCGCCATCTGCCGCCGGTCTTTAGATTATTTATGTATTATTAAACAGACATTTTTGTATAATCGGAACATTTAATGAAAAAAACAAAAAAAAAAAAACAATTATATGTACATTTATATTCGATTAGAATGAAGAGTGAGAAGTTTTATTCTCCACTGCGTTTAGGAAAATCATAATATGGGACTATACACTACGTATCAATTTAAGTTTTAATACATTTTATTATAGACTATTATAAAAAGTTGCGTTTTATACCATTGTAATGTAAAATATTAAATTACGTTTCTACGATACACCAAACCCGGTTGCTACCTACTATTTTTTTTATCACTGTGCATAAAAAGGTTGAACGCTTCAAATACCACACAACTAACAAAAACAATATTATTTAAAAATGACCTTTTTGTAGTGTTGCATTGTATAGTATAAGACGATGTACGGCTAACAAATGAAAACGTATTCATATTTTATTTTGTATCTACATATACAGTGTGATCATTTATTTGCATATAACACAATGAATATTCCTGTCAAATGTCTTGTAATTCAATGCGGTTTTCTGTAAGCAATAGTGTGTACTGAAATATACATTTTATTACATTGTCCAATTTTGTAGCGATAGGTATGCAAACATTTCGTAAAAAATCTGTGAACAAATAGCGTTGTAAGTCAGCGAAATTGGAGTTTATTATTACATTTTGCGTTCAGTGAACGAAAAAGTATCACTCTGTACATAATAATAATATCGAATATTTCTCTTTCAAATATGTCATTGAGTACGAAAAAAAAAAATATACATAGTGATCGTGTTTACTTCAAGTAAAATTAAAAAACAAATATTTCCTTTTTCATTTCACCCATCGTAATAAATAAATTACACAAATGCTCCGTTAATGTTATTTTAGTAACTTTATTAAAGGCATTTTTTTTTTCAACGGGATATTAAAGTCATCGACAACTATATTTATTGTTCCGATTAAAATAATCTATAACAATATAATGAATTTCAGGTTATTTAACTTGTAATAATATTTTTGATTAATTTTTTTAAACAATTTTAAATTTAGACTTAGTTGTGTGAAAATTGTATTGCATAACTAATCATTTACAGTGCCTAGCGAAATCGACACTATATCGATGTGCAAAAAAAAAAAAAAAAAGCTTAACCTCTCCGTTGGGCGTTTACTCATACGTTTGTTATACAAATTTTTCAATGGCGTTCCTGTCGTCATAATGCCCTGAGTGTGGACACCTCTCATCCCCCCTAGGCACGGCCTCGATAATTTATGTTTAAATTTATAATATTTTGATTTCAAATATTTATGTAACTGTTGTACAACAATGTATATTAGTAATCTGATAATGGCACGATGCTAAAACTAAATAGTTACGCTACAAAATTGTTCACACTACCAAGTCTAAGTATAAAATTTATATTAAATTGTTTAATACAAATATAAAGTTAACCTGCCTATAACTGTTCAAATGACTTTAATATTGATTTGTACCTATTACATGAAATCGTTGATATATCAATAAGTGTATTATAATACATTATTTTTTTTTACACGATAGAAAAAAATGTGTATATTACAATCAGTGTTGAGACTGTCTATAGGCAAATTCATCTAAAAGATAATCTAGCTAACGTCATTTGGATAAAACCAAAATATCGTATATTTTTCTTCTTAATTATTTGTCTCAAGTACGTATAGATAACGTATTATACTAATTAAATTATATAGTTTTTATCATTATTAATTAAGTTGTTTTTTTTTTTTTTTTTTCATGACACTGTTGTATTACTTTACTTACTAATATCTTTAATATCTAATACTAATCTTTAATCTATATCAGATCTAATACCCATATTGTTTTTATACTTAACAGTAACTATGTTTTGAATCTTTATTATTGTATAATTCATCTTTTTATATTTTTTAGACAATTAAAAATGTATCATTTATTTTTTATAAAATATGAGCCTTTATTAAAATATGTACCTTTTATTTGTATAAAAATATCCGTTAGATAAATCCCAATACTAATAACAATATTTAATATGTCAGTATGTGTCTCGTGTCTGTTCTGCACGTTCATTCTAGTCTACGTTTCGATTGGATTGGTTTTCACGGCAAACTGGATTTTCGCGGATTACAAAATAATTCAACGATCAACTCTCGTTTTACGCAAAATTAACAGGCCGAGCATAGTTTGAACAGCAGGTGTGAGTATTATTATTTCGAGAAATTTCGCATTATATACAGGATTAATGTTTTACAACTTATCAACTAGTAATTTCGCTCCAAATTATTATAAAAGCAATATTTTTAAAAGGAAATTTCATTGGAGGTACTTTAAAGAGGTCATTTTTCGATTTTCTCAGAAGTTTTCTCATTAAATTTGAAAAACCGAAAAAAAAAACAGTGGAAAAACGTAAAAACATATGAACTATAGGTATTAGTTAAAATATATTACGGCCTTTTTTTTTTCCTATGAATAACTTTTCTACCAGAAGACTAGCTCAGATTTTTAAGTGTAGCACCTTTTCTGA